GTAAATGGTGGTGCTTTTAAGACATAGGGTCATAGGGAGTGGTGGGGTTTTTAAGACATGGGATCATAGTGAACGGTGTTAAAGACATGATCTTATAGTGCAATATGAGGTCTTAAGAGATGGGGTCATATTGAACAGAAGGGTTTTTGACTCCCATGTGCGAAGCACAAAATGGGAGTCTTTGCAGTTAGTGTGTCTGTGTATGTGTGTGTGTATGTGTGTCCGACTGTTCCACTGCTATCTCAAGAACCATACATCGGTTTTTAATGAAACTTGGTACATAGATGCTCTGAACATATGCGCAGATTTGATTAGTTTTTAGTAAAAATCCATGCATATTAATTACCTACCTAATTTGCATGATAATTAGCTGATTTTTAGCTGTTCCATGATTGTTCCACTGATATCTAAACAACCACTCATTGGATTTTGATGAAACTTGGTACATAGATGCTCTGAACATATGTGCAGATTTGATTAGTTTTTGGTAAAAATCTGTGTATATTAATTACCTAATTTGCATGATAATTAGCTGATTTTTAGCTGTTCCATGATTGTTCCACTGATATCTAAACAACCACTCATTGGATTTTGATGAAACTTTGTACATACCCGGTACATGCTCTGAACTAATGCTAGGTTTTGATTAGTTTTTAGTAATAATCCGTGGATACTAATTACCTAATTTGCATAATGATTAGTCAATTTACGGTTTTCCCACTGATATCTCAAGTACTAATCATCATATTTCAATGAAACTTGGTACATAAATGTCATATGACACTGCACAGACCTGATAGTTTTTATTTTATTATTATTATTATCTTTTATTTCAGGACAAGCCCATATAAAAAGTAAGAAAAAAAAAATATTAACAAATTACACAGTATGCCTTAAATAGAATCGACCACGCCACATTTGCCATATACGTGATTTAAAAAAAATATCACTAGATAATAGATTGATTAAAACAGAGTTCTTACTCAACAAAATACGTTGTGAAAAACTGTAGCACATTTTTCTAAGTTTAACCTGAAAATCATCAACATGTAAACTGGCGAAAGTCTCTGTAATACTACTATTAAAAGAACGAGAGACATTACATATAATTCTAAGAGCGTTGTTATACGCAACACGAATACGATTAAAATCTGCCACAGTAAAATCCGATCATAGGTAACTACAATACAAATTTGAACAATAACTACGAAATAGCGTACACTTAACAGGAAGAGAACATTTACTAAAACTACGTAATAAAAAGTTGGCTCGAGCAAACAATCCACGTATTTGTTTTCTCATACAAATACTGTCTTTTCCGTCCTGGGTAAAATGATATCCTAAATAACATCACTGACTAACAAATTTTAGTGGCTTGCCATTAAGATAAACATTGGGAACTCGTTTAATGCCACACTGGGATGGCAAATTGTACATACAGACAGATTTCTTAAAATTGAATAAAATATCAAATTCATTGGCATAATTCTCACACTTCTTTACAAGAGAATTCAAACCCTTAATAGAAGGAGAAACCAAAATAAGGTCGTCAGCATAAAACATATGGTTGATGAACATGGTGATATCAGTACATATTAATTACCTAATTTGCATAATTAATTAATTTTCAGCATTTGATATAAGTACTAATCATCACATTTCAATGAAACTTGGTACATAGATGTCATATGACACTGCTCAGACCTAATAGTTTTTATGGTGATATCAGTACATATTAATTACCTAATTTTCATAATTAATAAATTTTCAGCATTTGATATAAGTAGTGAGCATTACATTTCAATGAAACTTGGTACTTAGATACTCAAGGTCTATGCAGAGATTGATTGTTTCTGATAAATATTTGTGCATATTAATCACCTAATTTGCATAATTAGTTAATTTTCAGCTTTTCCGCGGGTATCTCAAGTACTAATCATCGCATTTCAATGAAACTTGGTACATAGATCCTTTAGGACTATGCAGAGACCTGATTAGTTTTAGGATAAATAATTGTGCATATTAATCACATTAATTATTTTGCATAATTAACAAACTTTCACACTGATATCTCAGGTCCTAATCATCACATATCAATGAATGTTTGTACATGGATACTGTAGGACAATAGACAGACCTGGATAATTGTGGGTTAAAATCTGTACTTGTTAATTACCTAATTTGCATAATTAACCAATTTTAAGCTTTCACACTGATATCTATACTACTAATTATTCCATTTCAATCAAACTTAGTACAAAGATGCTCTAGGACAATGTACAAACCTAATTAGTTTGGGGTAAAAATCTGTTCATATTAATTCCATAATAAGCACAATAATTCATAATTTTTTGGTTCTAATCACGTTTCAATTAAACTTAGAAACATAGATTTTCTGTTACATTGCGC